ACGCCATATATCAGAAGACGGCATTCTTCAATGGAGTAACTGTAGAAAGCGGTGTTTTCTGTGCGGTCCGTGTAGAGGCTATATAATGAGAATCAGGTGCCATTAGAGGACATTTCGGTGAAATCTAAGTTCGGCTCATATATCTTAATTTTTATAAAATTCGGAGTTTTAAAGTAATATATATACTTGTTATTACGCCATCTGCACGAATTTGATTATTATTTACAACTGAAATATAATACAAATGTAAATTGTTCAGAACAGGATCATGCGGTCACAAGTGTGCTGTACCAAAAAAAAAATAAGTCGAAACTCAGGAGAAATAGATTTACAATGCCTCTATCCTAGTCACAAGACTACAAGAAGGTCTCTCCGTTTGACCTAACATACGATATTCTCATTCCGTGTGCGCTTAATGGTCATGTTAAAGAACAAAATCCTTTGAAACTCAAACTGACTTCTGCAGTATATATATTTCATGTTCTTTGACAAGCAGCTGTAGTGCATAGCATTGAACGCTACCCCGTCCCAGGGCACATTTGTTACAAAGTATATTTCCTCTTTCGAAGTGCTTGCATTTCGAACAAAGGCGATAGAACACTCTGAATACAAGTGAAGCAAGGACTACAAATGTTTGCTCTGTGCATTGAAAAGGACTCATTTTCTCTACTCATACAGGGAAGTCAAACCACCAGTAGATCCATCAAGATCGGATCTCGGCATCAGAGATCATTAAAACACATTGACAAAGACCACCCTGGATTCAGAGTAGGAAATTCAAATAAAACACTTCGCGGAATTTGTGTCTTATTTGCATATAAAAGATATAAAAGGAACTCATAATATTGTGTCGTATTTGCTCACCCATTATCAGCCTTTACTTAAGTTCAGTTTACCTAATTCTATTTAACTGTAGCTCTACACTCTTTTCTGAGCCTTTTTTCAGTTTCGTAATCTTTTCTACACAGTCGGTAGGAACCCTTGGACGGGGGATCAGCCCGTCGCAAGGGCGCTACATGCACAGGACAACACAAACACAGAATGAAAACATACAGATATCCATGCATCGAGTGGGATGCGAACCCACGATTCCAGTGTGCGAGCCGGCGAAGACAGTTCATGCCTTAGACCGCGCGACCACTGTGATCGGTAGCTTCCTTAAATACAATTCTGGATTTCAATTAGATTTATAAGAAAGCATCACCGAGCAAATTGATCCAAGCGGCAGAGCTTCTGACTTGTATTCAGAAGGTGAGCTGTTCGGTTCCTGGTCCGGACATGTCCTGACTGAGGTTTTCTGTGTGGATTTTGTCATTACCTCAAGGCAGTTGTCGGAATAATGCTTACAGTTAGGTCAGAACTGTTTACTTCTACGCTCTTTCAACTCAATTAGTCACTAATGATCCTACAATTCAAGGCTAATGATGATGTTAAATAAGCGGCACCGAAAGTGGGGAAAGGTTAAGCGGGTTTACATGAAAGTTTCCGGGAGCGTTTCACTTTGATTCGTATCGGTCCAATAAAAATCACACTCTATACGAAACTTAAAACCAAATACATTATTTATTTAGTTGATACATATGAAAATAATTAGTACAAATGCCTGAGGTTCGAATGGAGGTCAAGCTCCATAGTGTGGTCCTCTAGACTGCGAACAATATATGAATAGTTTGGTAGGTAGGCGTCAACATATGGGTGAAGACAGAAGCAATGTATTCCTACAAAACGAAGGTTCCTATCTACCAAACTACACGCTATAGTAACCTAAATAACTACGATATGGATAAACTAGTGCAACAGCTGAAACAAGACTTACACATCTTGGGATATAACATTATATAATCTGCTGAAAATCAACGGACGTTTCAGAGCAATGTACTGCCTCCATTTTCGGGGTCCTTCTTGATACCCGCTACTTGATTCATGCCGTTTTCTTTTTGCCTTGTTCTTATACCCTGAAGACGGAGACGAAATTTTCCTCCAAAAAGTCGGTTGATTTTCAACCGACTACACGACGTTGTATCTCGGAAAACAGAATTCACCATAATCACCACTGTGAGGACCTCAGATCTACAACATCTAAAATATATACCTTAAGTCGACTTTTCACTGGTGTGCCACTCATTCATTTAGTTGAGCTCTCCTCGAGATGCCGCCAATTGCGCAGCTAAACTGAAGAACTTCCCAGATCTTTATGGAACGCGAAGGTTCATTGTCGTGTTCACAAGAGCCCTCTGCTGGTCTCTATTCTGGGTCTGATCAATCCAGTCCATACCATCCCGTTCTCTAATATCAACCTTAACCTCGTCCAGTCACCTAAGTCTTAATCTTCCTCGTGGTCTCTTTTCTTCTGGCTTTTCCATGAATACCCTATATGAATTCCACTTGTTCCCCATTCGTGCTACATGACCTCCCCATTTCATCCTCCTAGACTTGATCATTCTAATTATACTTGGCGAGGAGTACAAGTTATGAAGCTCCTCATTATGAAGTTTTCTCCAACCTCCTGTCACTTCATCTCTCCCGGTCCAAATTTTCCTCAGCACCCTGTTCTCAAACACCCTCAGTCGATGTTCCTCCTTAATATCAGAGACCAAGTTTCACACCCATACAGAAATACAGGCAAAATTATACTTTTGCATATTCTATTTTTTTTATGTTTTTAAGCAGCAGACGAGAAAACAAAAGGTTCTGGGCTGAATGGTAGCAAGCATTACCCGAATTCAATCTCCTCTTAATTTCCTCCTGAATCAGATTTTGATTTGTTATAGTCATTCCAAAATATCTGAACTGTGCCTCATTTTCAAAATATCTGTTTACTATCTCCAGATATGGAGGGTAGCTGCGAATATATTGAATATGCAGTCGCGAACAACCGAGAAGGGGTTGGTGGTTGGGCGTGGGGCTAACAACTCCTCATCGTAAAATATAAGCTTGTTAAGAAAGATGACAAGAAGCCTCACTTATGTGTCTCTGAATGAAATATGAAATTATAATTGCAAACACACACAACTGGGTTATTTATTTGGAAAGGTATAAAATGAGCTCTACACAATTTTACATGGCAGCTTTTCGAAATCCATTGATTATATTTCAGCATAAAAAAGAGACAAGTAATTCACAAAACACTGTTATCAATTTACTACTTTCCTCCTGAAAAGAAGAAATGACAATTAAATTACTTGTAGGAAATAAGAACTTTTCATATTGTGGCACGTAGATCCGTTCTAGGCAACGACTGCGAAAAAGCAACTATACAACAGCCGTTACTAGACAGCTGATGCAAACAACAGAGGAACAGTGTTCTCTGTGCGATCCGTGCCGAGAGGTTATAAGAAGGACAAGTTAGTGGAGATGGTTGATGAGTGAGTTAGACAGAAGACTGCTGTGATTCAGTCGTTGTGAGCTGTTGTTGTTAGTAGTTAGTAACTGAGGCCAGGAGCAGTTCTGGAACGCAAGTAAGGTGAACATCCGCCAATAGAAGCCGTTACCAAGCAATGACAATGATAACGTGACTGTGTATATTAGTGTATTTAGTCATGCGCTGTATCAGAGTCCAATAAATCCGAACATCAATCCAAAACCCGCCAGAGTTAAATTCATGATACGTAAAATTGTATCTGTTATTATCACACAATTTCATAGTTTCTCATGCAATATAAACAGCAGTGAGAAAATAATAACATATTTATTTTCTAATTGGTGTATTATAATTAGACCTTAGTACATTCCTATCTCAACCGTGCAGTGGAGTATAGTGTGTTAACAGTGAGACAACAAAATAAAAACACTTAACATTCTGAGACATGATCTGCGACACGCCTGTGGATAATGAATTCGAGCTCTTGGCCAGAATACTTGTTGCATGTGACATGATCCGTGAGACACCTAAAATATTTGAAAGGGTGTGCCAAAGTTTCTTTCGTCGATGTAACGCATGCATTGAAAATGGAGGGCGCCAATTCCAACATCTACTCTAGCAGGTGAGTCTTGAGAGTTTGGAGGGGGTAATATGCCTGTGCATGCTCTTCGAGATTGAGGCGCCAAGTTTAAAGAAAATGATATTAAATGTCGACCTAGCGTTGCTATTTTACGTTTGTTGTCATAGGTTCCTATTTCAAAGTTGTTATATAAGGAAACCTCAGTAAGCTCCTGAAGTATGATACCAAACTCCTGGGACACTCTGTATATGCTGCTTTCTGCCAGCGACAGTGATTTGAATACAAACGTTCTTCAAAAACCCTCAGCGAAGAAATGTGTGCTAAGCTCTGGTTTCTAAGTTCTAACGTATTTATCCGAAAATGGTTATTCTTTACTGAAGTTTCTTCGTCATACTTGTATTTATGCAGGTGAAGCGTTTTCTCTGTGAAGTGCATATCTTCCTGCAGACAGTGCATTTTTAAATTGATATTCTTCAACAACTTATAACACGAATCTCAACAGCGGTCACCAGCAAATATTTATGATTTTTTCTTCCTCTTCGCTCCCACTTTGGAGCATAGGGCTGATTTTTCAGTTTCACTGGCCCTATATACAGTAGGACTCGTTGGACGGGTGATCAGCCCGTCGCAAGGCCTCTACCTCAACACAGGACAACACAAACACAGAATAAACGCGTACATACACCAAACATCCATGCCATGTATGGGATTCGAAACCACGAACTCGGCTTCCGAGCGAGCGAAGACAGTGCATGCTTTAGGCCGCTCGGCTACCGTGACCGACTAATATTTATGATTAGTGAAAAAAAAATCAGATATGACGATTTTTAAGATGATAGATTTGATTCCACTTCTGAAATTTCGTTTTCGTACGAATCCTCAAAAAAACCTTTCTTATAGAAAAATGACTGAAAATTAGCACGTACATGTACTTCGAAATATCCACATGAGGGCGCTCCTGAGATATGAATAGGTAGGCGCAAAATTCTTCTTCATATCTGCCGTAGCTGCAGTGTTTCGTGTTATAGGTGCTACACCACTTTTAGAATTCTTCTCTTAGCGGCCTCAGCAAACATTTGTTCAGAAATGTGGTTGCAACACGCCTCTGTACATGAATATGAATGATAACATTATACACCTCATTCACCTGACTTAAAACGTAATCACACGTTACTTGACATTGTTTTCTTCATAGGCTTATTTTATTCAACAGCTCCTGAGTTAGCGATAACACTCTGTCAATAACTTCATCTCTTGCCAATTCCACGTTTTCTTTCGTGAGACTGTCCATTTCTTCCATAGATGGCACACCATCACTGAACATATCAAAGGCTTTCACACGATCTGGGTGAGCCGCTTGTCCTATTATAAAAGAAGTTGCTAACATAAAACCATAAAGGCAATATTTAGAAAACTGATGCTTGAAAGCTTCCAGACTGAACTCAGGATGAAGCGCCTCTTGCGGACAGTTCAGGAACTCTGAGATCGCGTCCAAAAGATTGCGATGATATGTGGAGAAGATGTCATCCCAACAAGTGGCCCAGAGTTCTGGGCTGGCATTCACAAACATGAAGAATGATAAATCTATAGTAGGAGATGCGTAATACGGATTTTGGAAATCAAAAAATTTCACTCCCGAAGGTCTGTTGTTTGAATCATACCGGAAAAGCATATTGTTCCTGTTGAAATCCCCGTGACAGAGAACTGCAAGCGGCTCGTCAGGAGACAGAAGTTCACTCATCAGTTCAGAGATATTGTCAATTCTCTCCATCAATCGATTAATCTTCTCCGTATACAGCCCACCTTCGTTGAGTTGCATCTCTTCAAACTTATCCAACAATAACATAGTACTGTAACGTAAGAACCTGGAATAACCTTCATCCATCGACTCCAATGTAGCCTGTTTCTTCATGAACCGTCTTGCATCTCGTATTTGCGTTACAATATACTCTTCATATTTCCGAAGATCTTTCTTCTTCATAGCGTAAGACATAGCATGAAATCTTGCCAGTCCTTCTAAAGCCACTACAATATGTTCATAATCCATTAACATCATCTCGTCCCCTCCAATCTTGTATCCAAGTTTTCTTAAGTCTTGTAACATGATCATTCCTTTTTCAGGATCAGATGAAACATAGTAACATTTCGGGAACAAGTCATAGGCCGCGGTTAAATTACTCGAAGACCTTTCAGCTTTCATGTCTTCATAAGATGGCGCAGCACATGTTTGAAGTAACAATGGAACCATTTCAGAATATATCTTGCTTTCGTTAAAGAACTGATCTGCAGAATTCATAATTGATCTAATCATTGCATTAGCTGGCATTGTTTTCACTAGAACAAAATGCACATTTTGATTTTCATTGTCCTCTAAATTTATTTCTGCTTCATACATAACCGATGCGGCATGGAATCCTAATTTAAATTGGTCTAGTAATTTTACAGAACAGTTTAACACCTTATATGCAGGTTTACGGCGTCTGTAACAATTCTTTGTGGAATATCCAGCAGTGGTCTTCAGGTAAGTGGGTACTTCGGCGTTTATGGTTTGTTTAATTTTCTTTAGATTGTCCTCCAGTTGAAGATTTGAATAATGATGAGCCATTTTGTTGTCACAAACACTACAACGCTGAAAGTCACTTCAGTGGAACGACTTAACCTTCAAACTGCCAGAGATATTTCAAGCGTGCTCTGAGTAAAGTTGACTTACCATCACTATAAACTGCTCCCTTCCTTCATAACGTAATATGAGATTTACTTACATTAATAAAACTAAAGCCAAATTAATACTTGACATGCAGTATTGTTTACTTGAAGATAAAGCAGAACAATGGCTCATGGATGAAAAGTCCTTATCTCTCATAAAGCCAAAGTTGTAAATTTTCATACCGGTGGACAAATTTCAACAAGTAATAATTTCATTTTAGCTGGTCGCTATCGTAGGAAGTAATGAGAGCCCTACAATAATTTCATATTTCAGCCTGAAAAAAATAAAATATTCAAACAAATATTTTTTAATCTTTTTTAAATCAATCATCTGCAACCTAAGTAGAAACTCGGTATTTACTGAATATTAATGAATATTCAATACGACTATAAATGGTTAGACCTATTTTATACCGAAATTTAGAAAATGACTGCATCAGTCAAGTTAATGATATTAAATCCAGTATTACTACCAACGTTTCTAACGCTATCATTATAACCGCCGCGGATATTAATAGTAATTCAATTAAGTCATTCAATTCTTTATTATTTACTTGCTTTCTGAACAGCCCAACGAGAAATTAAAAAGCAATCAGGAGAATAAAAGAAAGTGAGAACTATACACACAGAAACAGAGAAAAACTAGGCAGTTTATATCATATAGACAGTAATAATAATTCAGTAAGTGAAATAATTCAAATCATTCTGCGTTGTGAAAGTATATGTAATTAAGCCGATTACATAGAGCTGAGCCCTTTTTGAGAAGCCCCCAGTTGGGCAGCTATTCAAGAATTTTCCAACATTTTATCGAACTCGGAATTTCATTACCGTGTTCACAAGAGCCTTGCTCTGGTTCCTATCCTGAGCCAGATCAATCGAGCCCATACCACCCCATCCTATCTAAGATCCGTTTTAATATTATCCACCCACTTACGTCTAGGTTCTTATAGTTGCCTTTTTCTTTCTGGCTTTCCCACGAATATCCTATACACATTTCTGTTCTCCCTCCTTCGTACTACAATCTCTGTCCATCTCATTCTCCTCGACTTCATCATTCTAATTGTACTTGGCGAACATTTCAATTTCTGAAGCTGCTCATTATGCAGTTTTCTCCGATCTCCTGTCATTACATCTCCCTTCGGTCTAAATACTCTCCTCAGTATCCTGTGGTTCCTCTCTTAACGTCAGAGACTAATTCTCATACCCATACAAAATCACAGGCAGAATTATAGTCTTACGTATTCTAATTGCTATGTTCTTAGACAGCAGACGAGAAGGTAAAAAGTTCTGAACTCAATGGTAGCAAGCATTACCCGAAATATATCTTCTCTTAATTTCCTCCTGAACCAAATTTTGATCTATTGCTGCTGTTCCAAAATGTTTGAACTGTGCCACATTTTCAAAGCACCTATTGCCTATCTTCGTGTTATGATTTTGCGGCGTGACTTTACAGCTACACATTAATTCATACCTAACAAATTAAAATTTTAATTATTAATTAAAAAGCATAATTTTGAAATATGATTAAGAGAAGCAGTTTTGGTTCCAAATATTTCATTATCTCCATAAATATCAGCAAATGAATCGCATCTAACAGAAGGGTAAATTCCAATTGACGAGTAAATAATTAACCCCGAAAAGTCTCTGATAACTTTAGCAGGAACTAGAGGACCAAGAATTTCCAAAAGGGTAGGACACAATTTAGACCCAAGGTAAACTTGAGTAAAGAGCAATATATGAAGGTGATACCGTGTCTTACGTTAAGTTGTGAAATTTTAACTGTTCTAAAGCGTAAGCAAAACTATAAAGGACATGGGAAAAACGATTAAAAAGGACTACGAACTCCTGCTGGATAATAACTTATCATACATAGAGTTTTGTATCATCATATTGCCATATGTAGGGGGATACACGTGACGAAAATAACGGGTTCTAGTTCGGATGATTGGATTTAGTATCATTTTGGTTACAAGTTTTCTTATTCACACATAAATACAGCGCTATCGCCGATTTACATACTTTCCAGTTCAATGTTGCACACGCACTAGGATTCCCAGTGCTCACTAGTCGTCTCCTAGCAACGGATCTCAACACAGAAACTATCACTTCAAATTATTATGAAGTCTTCTTGCCTTCAATCATTCTGGAACCTCGGAACTAAAAATTCTTCTAGACTCGCACTTCCAACTTACAACTGCCTCGTAACTGCCCTCAACGAATTTTATCACTCCCAGTTACATAGCCGCAGAACGAACATGGACCTACAGTTTAACACTTATCACGTTATCGGTATCCAGAGAGTCTACTGGCGCTGGGTCGGATCTACAGAAAACACTGCTTCATTTAATGTAGCATGTTGGACCGTGTATACAGGGTTGTTGCCTGGCAACGCGTTAATAAAATCCATTATAAAAGTCTAAGAATATTGGAAAATCAGGCCTGTCCGTTTCATTAAATCTACAGATTAATTTATTTATATTACTTTATAAAGAATATTATAGAAAGATATTCGCTCACTGATAACAGAAAACTTATACGCAATTAAAAACGAGATTTACGTATAATATATATAATTTATATATATAACTACAAATACAATATTATATGATTCTTTTATTACAAAATGTCATGACTGGCAACATTTATTTGGCAATAAATGTTATAGTTCCTTCCACTGCTATTTTTATGCGACTGACCTCGTTTCCCTAATAACTTAACAAATACATATAACTCCTGCCTAAAGTTTACATTTGTGGCGTGAAAACCTTCTTTTGCTATTACCCATATTACATTCAATGTTCACTCTTTTGTGACCATGAATCGGATAAGTTTTCAGAAATGCCTTTAAATATGACGTACAAAGTCAAAGTTTAAAGACCTTCATTCACTGAAATTCCACAAGTGCTGTATTGTGGCAGGGTCTTACATTGCAGTTAAAAGAATGGCATGACCACTGTGGGTACTGGAACGTGTGGATCATCTCTGACATATAACGGATGTCCTCTAAGCATTCATTTGAAATACAGGCTGGATATTGCAACAAGGCACCGGTGGAGGTTCAATATAATATCAGTGGGAGTTCTAGTTGCATATTCAAACACTGAAATCGCCGTGAGATACTTCCATATTCATCATTATTGCTTCCCAGTACAGCCTTGTAACGTGTAATTCAAAATTATTCGGCATATCATCAGCGTTAAGTAACTCCTACACTAATGCAGTGTTGGCACAGAACACACCGAAGGGAGGACATATGAACTGCATATTTTTAGCGTTACATGCAATTCTGTGGCCACTAAAGTGTTTAATTACGTACGAGATTTGAGGTTTTCAGAGTGGTGAAAATTTAGATTGTAGTCATCTCTTTTGTAACAGTATGTAGTCTTGCACGAGGTTACACGAGTTTCAGTGAAGCTACTGCTTCCGAAACGTCGGTAACCACCCACAAGTCTACGTGGCTATACAGTCCAGATGATCACAACCTAAATTTGTAAAATTACTTTAAATATGATGAAACTTAATATATTCCTTCCTTCCAGTATTGTAATTTTATTTGGCAGTCTTCTACATCTTACAGTCATACGGGGGTTGGGCATGAGGATAACAACCTCATCCTGTAAAAATAATTTTGTTCAGGAACCTAACAACCAGCCTCGGGTCATCATGCGTCGATCCATTCCTCTGGCAGCAAGCATTGGTTGTGGAGACTGGTTATAGAGGAGGCCAAGGCTCACCCACGGTTGCAGCGTCAAGGGGTAGGCCAGTGAAAAGAAAAAAGAAAAAAAAAGGGGAGGCCAGACCAAATCACGTGTTGCTAACAGACACTGCGATTATGGGCAATTATGTAGCCTTCTCACTTAGAAAGAAGAGGTCTGGTTTAATCGAATTAAATCTGGGAATCACATGTATATATTAACACTTATTAAACTGCATCTTTCAATTAAAATATTTTATTTCTATGTTTTCACAGCAATTGTTTTAAAACTGCTAACAGATCACTTGTTCTGTCAAGAGAAAGTGCATATCTTTCGATTAGTACAATCACAGGCTACTTAAAGTAAATATTTTTGGTTTCAAGAAAATTTGTCTTAGTGGAAAAGAGTAAAACATCATTTCTTGCAATGTGACATAAGAGAAACGACAGAAATACCAGAAAGTCATGGAAACAGACAATTTTAAGTGGCAATCACAAGTATCCTTCATCCACCAATTCTTTTATCAAAGATACCAATCTGGAAGTTACTTCTTCTCCTTCCAATTTCAAATTTTCTTTAATGCAATTGTCCACATTTTCCCTCGAAGAAAACCCGTTGCTGAACATTTCAAATATCTTTTGAATTTTAACTCGCTTTGACAGTGCCGAAGTAACACAACCAGCTGTCACAACGTAGCCATAAACTGCATGCTTCGAGAATTCTTCTTTGAAAGCCCCTATACTATACTCTGGTAACAGTTCCTCTTCTGGACACTCCAGGAACTCAGAGATTGCCTTCAGAAGAGTCTTATGGTAGATAGAGAAGAAATCGACCCAATTTGCAGCACGAAGTTCAGGGCTGGCGTTCAGAAATAGGAACAAAGATAAGTCTATTGCTGGCGAAGCGTAGTGGACATTTCGGAAGTCTGTGAATTTCACTGCGACAGGTTTGTTGCTTGAGTCATACAGGAAAAGTATGTTCTTCATGTTGAAATTTCCATGACAAAGTACTGAAAGCGGTTCTTTTGGGATCAGCAAGTTACGAATGAGACCCACTGTGTCTTCTAGTAACGTGTTCAGGCGCTCAACACACGACCCGTACTTCCCACTGCCCTTAAGATGCTCCATTGCAAAAACTTCTAGTGGCTGAAGAGCTGCGAACTGTAGACACTGAAAATAAGCGTGAGCGTACATCAACTCCCTGGTTTTGTCTTCTGAACATAATTTCTTCCCCTTTTTCAGTTTCTGGACCACATGACCGTAGAAACCTTGAGGATCCTTTTTCTTCATAGCGTATGATAGAGCATGAAATCTTGCCAAACCTTCCAACGCCAAAACTATGTGATCAAAGTCCATAAGCAACGAGTCATTCTCTCCAATTCTATATCCACTGTTCTCAAGATCTTCAAGCACAATCAGAGAGTCTTTACATTTCGGAGATGTATAATAGCATTTGGGAAATAATGAATATGCTTTACGAAGGTTGCTTGATGAATAACCAGAATCACTGTCCCCAGAAATGGGCGATAACGTCGAATGAAATAAAGGTATGACGTCACTGAACATCTTACTTTCCACGTAAAATAGATGACTTGAATCTTGCATGTCTCGTACACCTGAATTCATCGCATATTTCTTCACTATTAAGCTCTCTTTCCTTACATGTTTCTGATTTATTTCACCGTTTTCTTTAATTTTATTCTCCTCCGTCTCAATTTCGGCACGATATATATCCGAACTCAAATTACGTACAGAATTTGATGGCGATAATAAGGTCACGTGACAATCGAGTATTCTGTAACTTACGGTGTCTATTTCAGACGATTCTTGTAGAAGTTTTCTTCTTCTGGATTCAATATAAGACGGGATTTTTGTTATAAGAACTTGTCTGATGTTTTCCAGAGTTCTTTCCGGCTGATGGCCAAGTTCAATAACGTCATCACTACTCATCGCTGGGCAGCGTGAAGACACTTCAGAGGAGCAAATGATATTTCCTCGCTGTTTGCGAGACAACTAAGGTGCGCGTTAGCAGTTACACAATGCCACAGTTTCTCTCAATTATCTTTCAGTAACCAGTGTGCGTCAGTCCAGGTAATATCTACGCGTAATTCAGCTGATAAGTATAGAGGATGGATATGCGATGTTTGGAATAAAGTTACTGCTGTTTACAGTGAGATGAAAAAGATCATTAGGCTTGACAATGTCACGCGAAATATGTAACTGTGGCAATAGCAAGAAATAGGTGATGTAACTCTCCACAAGGCCACTGTTTGTAACAGCCTGTTTCATGCAAAACATTCCTCTTACAGGCGTGCAATAAATTTGTGTAATACAGATGACTATAATTCAGTTTTACTGCGTTTTTTTCATTCGTGCTACAGCCCTTATTTGGGCCTAGGCCTACCTCCATGAAACTATCCGTTCACTTCAGTTTTACTAGATCTTAGACATATGGTAGGACTCCTTGGGAGGGTGATCAGCTCGTCGCAAGGCCTCTACCTGTACACAAACACAGACAAACGCACACAAACATCCATGCTCTCAGTGGTATTCGAAACCACGATCCCGGCTTCCGAGCGAGCGAAGACAGTGTATGCCTTAGACCGCTCGGCTACTGTGACCAGCTTTACTCCTTCCAGATTAAATTAAAAAGAGTGAAATAAGTGAGAACTGGTCTGTCGGCAACCCAGGGCCGTCCTAAACTATGCTCAGTGCTCTTGTTAGCGTTACTTATTTTGAAGTAGAGGTAAAATGTAAATTTGTCCCTGTGCTTAACTAATTAAGCACTGCAGCATGAAGACGTGTGGGGGAGTAGATGCATAGATTCAGGTATTCTTGACTTTGGCGCTAGTCTCAGTTGCGTGGTCAGTTTCACGCTCCGCCCCCTTTACCCCTAGGGAAAGAATCTCCATTGTCCACTGGATAGGGGGTTAAACGGGCCCTAGAACCGGGTTTAAAGACGCGGAGAAGAGGAAAATATTGTCCTTATAGGGACTCGAGCTCCGACCCTTCGGCCGTACAGCCTGAAGCCAGTCTATATACCGACTCTATTCCGGCTCTTGTAATATAAACGTGTCAAGCACAAATAAATTCAAGCTTAATTTCTGATTGTTCTCTTCGATATGTAATTGTCTAGTTCTTTACGTATGAACAATTCTGTCTTTCAGAAGTGTAAATCTATGTTTAAATAACAAAAAGCGCAGCCTTGTATAATGGATTTTATTCATTTCGTTCAACCAGGAGCCATCAGACAGCCCTGGTACTTTCATTTTTAGGATTACACGACTGAAGAAGACATGCAAAAACTGAAAGAAAATGACAAATAGCACAAAATTACGGTCGGAAATCTCAAGGGAAGGAAGTGCTCGGGAGAACTAGGAGTAATCGAAGGTAACAGCAAAATATGCCTACAAGAAAAAGGAGTGTGCGGGGAAGTACGCTGGATTGAGCTGGCGCGGAATGCAGTGATTTGAGATATTCTGTGATTATTGTGAATGATGAGAGAAATATTTTGTCAAGTTCAATGAGTATTTACAATTATATTATACTATACTATACTATACCATACCATACAATACTAATACCACAAGAGTTCAGACGAAAAAAAATCTCTGGTCGTGGGTCTCAAGGGGCTTGATGCCAATACGAATTGAAAGGCAGCAAACCGCCAGTCGTACAGTAAGTCTGACTTTGACTTTGAGAGGCTGAGAAGAGATGGCGTTATAATTAAGTTGACGGTTCAGTTGTGGGATATTCGCCGGACAGTAACAACGTGAGCACAGAAGTCGAAGAATCTCAGTTGTTGAGAACTAGTGAAAACATTGCAGGCTGGAGACGATATAGCATGTAATGATTTGTGAATTATGGAAATCGGCAGTAGTGTTATAGTTATTTGTAGTTAAGACCTGTAAGTGGTCAATAAATCTATTCATCAGTTCATACCCCGTCTATAGTCACTCCAAATCGTGACAATAATAAAACGAATTTTATGCATTTATTTCTTCTGCATGACTGAACTGCGACCAGTAAGAGAACAGATTGTACATGGAAATAAACGTCTGGAAGAAACCTCATGCAAAGATACCAAGGACAAATGAAAGAGCACAACATTTAATCGGCATTACTGAAACAATCTGCTAACTTGACTGAGACTTCTGAGTTGCAGTTCTCTTTAAATATAGTGGGAATAAAAATTAATCTACCTGACGTAAGGAAACTTAATTCAATAGATGGGATGTGTAAAACGAATGTGAGGCATATTGAGTGCATAGGTAATTTTGTTTGGAAAACCTAAACGGAGTAGACCAAGTGTAAAATCCAGGATTAAGTCGGAGGATAATACTAAGATATATCATAATGAATTAGAAAGTGAGGATACTGACTCGGCTGAAATGGCCAGTGGTGGGGCTTCTTGAACAGTGCAATGAATCTTCAGATTCTGCACAAACAATTCTTGACTATGTAAGATTTGAGGCTTTCACGGGGGTGACTATGAAGAAAGCAGTCGTCTGGGATTTGGCACCGTGTATATGTGGTGTTAACCGACGTTAACCCTGAAGATGGAGGCGATACGTTCCTCCGAAACGTCGGTTAACACCACATATACACGGTGCCAAATCCCAGAAGACTGCTTTCTTCAATTCTTGACTAACTATGCGAATGTTAACTTATCAATAACGGTTGTTTAATGAAATTAACTTACACACCAAGATTAAGGTGATACCAGGAAATTTAGTTTTAAACTTATGTTTGAGTGTATCCTGTTAGATGAAGTTGAAAACGTTTGCATTCAATGTAGAAGAGTATTTTTTCAACTGAATTAAATTTCTTATATTTATGTTTGATATATTTCCTCATTTTGTAAAATGAGGTATTCCTTCAGAAGTATACAGAGGGATGACACGTCTGGATTATCCCAACACTACCTCCGCTGGGGCCTATATAGGTTCATAAACAAGATAACAAGCAAAATGCAGGCGGTCGTTTGAAGCCTGAGTGGAGAATCGCATGCCGTTGTGTTTTAAGGCCTCGCTCCTACGGGAATCTATGTCCTGTCCTCCCTCCCTCTCTCTCTCTCTTGATGTATTAACTACATTTCATAACACTCCGCAATACGAGTAGCAATTCCCTATAGTGACCTCATTAATTAATTCCAAATGACGGACCCATAATTCATGGGGCCACGAGTTTTGTTGTAGTACTCCCTTCAAACTTTGTGGAGTCCAGAATGAATTGACTACCCCTCTCTGGGGTATATTGTATTAGTAAGCAAGGTCATGACACAGCCAATATATTGATCGTGCAGACTTGTCAGTAAGCATGGCAGCTGTTTGTGCTTGTTAGATCGTCGTTTACTTAACATTTCAGTCCGGGGTATTATCCGATTGTACACAGTGACTCCGTCATATGTATCTTGTTTATTTATTTATTATTTATTTAACGACGTGTTCAATAACTCTGAGTAAATGGCCTCGAATGGTGGGATGATAGTGCATAATAAATTGCAACGTATATAAAATAGGTCGTGGCCTATTTTAAATCATTTGTTTTTGTCTGAAAGGGTAGTGTATAATTTGAAATACGTCAGAATATCCGGAATTTCTGTGGATATTCGAAGGCTTTGATAACAGTGGAATATTGACATAGAAGAATTTACTTGAATTACGCTTGATATTCTACCTTTATATACTTTAGTAAATAGTTAAGAATGGGAGCAGAAGCTTGTGGGAGGTACGCTGGGTTGGTACTCTACTGTTCATGTTTGTTCAAAAAAAGTCCATAGGGTACCTCTACATAGCAGGATTCTTAAGATCATATCTTATTATTAATCAATTGAGCTTAGCACCTCGGCTGCGTTTCCAGAACTATTAAAATCCTTCGCTTAAAAATTGAATACAAATTGTGATTTCAAAATGTTCATCAAGGATTACAACATACGAGGGAGAGTTAGTAAATAGGTCGCAAATGTAATTAAAGCAGCTATAATGGGTGTAATAGGTTTTCTATGTGTATCACTAGGCAGCAGCACAGCCCAGCTTCATGACAGTCTAGGTAGCAGACGCGCATGCGCATGTTCAGAGACTGATTTCAGTAGTCAAAATGGTGACCGATCATGAGGAGAGTAATACCGAAGAGCAGTGTTCTGTTGTGCGTTTCTCCGTGGGAAAAAGGACCAAATGTGAAGGATATTCATAAAGAAATATTTCCTGTTTACGGTGGGAAGTGTTTGTCGTGTAAAGCGGTTCACAAATGGGTAAGGAAATTCCCTCAAGACGTCGGAAAGTCGCAGATGATGCCCGACCAGGTGCGGAAATGGCTCAGACATCAGTCAAAAGACTTCTATGCTGCCGGCTTCAACGCACCTGCAATGAGATGGGACAAGTGTATCAATGTTGATGTAGGATGTGTCGAGAAATAAAATTATTTTCCAGGTTCGAATATCACATATTTTACGTTTTATACCCATCTGTGATCTGTTTACTGATTCTCCTTCGTATAAGAGTGCATCACAGTGAAATTAGTACAATGTGATTAAGTATGCTGCAAATGATAGCAATAATATGCCGTTGAAATTTCAACGGGAATTGCATAAATTACATGAATAACAGAGCTGTCGACTTTATGCAAACGGGATCCGTCTTGCCTTTAGACAAAAATGATCATGCATTTAGTCTCTGTGTCACAGTTGTAAAAATATTGCTTTTGGAATATGGGAAATGTCACCAGAAAGGAATTAGTTTACGTGAGGTGCAAGCATGAGTCTTCATTTTGAAGATTCCTGTTCTGGTCAGCAGCACGAGGTTTCTGTATTCAGTACTAGCTCTATAATTGCTCTGGGGTCTACTCAGACTCATTCCCTGCATGTAGCGAGAGATCTATCTGCGGGAATAGAGGAGGATTGAGCAGCGTGTAGCTCAGTAGTCCCTTCCATCAAGGGTTCAGATCATGTACCTAAGCTTGAAATACCTCCTGAAAATTTCGATGAGTTTTACGTTCGCGAAATTTCGATTCTGTTATGTA